AATCTTTAGATGCTATCATGCATCTGCTTATCATTATACCACAAAGATCTCGCAACTGAATAAGAGATGCAATGAAAATAATATGATAATTGGTACAACAAATACCTAATACAATATGCTTTTTGCGTCATGTTTTAAGTAATGGATTAACAATCAAACATATATAGAATTAGCATTCAAACAAAATACATGCTTTACAATATTGTGCAAAGCAATAGCAATTTAGTGATAAAAGAAAAATACATGCCTTACAATACATGCCTTAAAATTAAAAGATAAAATGCTTACCTCAGGAATATTGTGCAAAGCAATAGCCAAAGCTAAATTAAGGCCAACACGAAGTCCCTGAAAAGTACGTTTTCTTAGATGTAATTTAATATCTAAAAAATTGGAATAGGTACCTTTATCGATCCCAGGAAAACTGCCATTCCCTCAGGAAAATTATGCAAGCTGATTCCTGGGAATAGTAAAAAAGATATAATCACCTTTAAACGAAACAAGCTAAATGTAATAAAATGTGTCGTAAGGATAAACCACTTTAAAAAAGATTATTTGTTAAAATCTCCTAATACTCCTAAGGAAAGTATGAAGATTGCTTAAGAAAGAAATACATGCCTTACAACAATAAATTGCAAAGGGAATCACATCAAATATATTATACCCAAAAAAAAGAATGAAAAACTAAAATATTGTTAACAAGCCACTTTAAGTGGCACACTGTAAATTCACTCACTGATATTTGAAACAGTGTGTTTTACTTAATAAATGAAATGAATTGTGCAGGGAAATGGTTCAGCTCTATCCTTTTTTGATACATCAAGGGTTGTTTAGAAGTTTCCCTATATCACATCATGAAAAATCAATCGTAAGTGCCATTTTGATCCTGGGGCCAAGTGTTAATCTCAACTCTCCCCTCACTCCCAAAGCTAACAATTTTCTACACACAATGGCAATAGAGCCTCAAAACTCAAGTGTGGGGTGCTAAAAGTTGAGACATTAAGACTAAAAGATGATAACATAAGATGAAAGTGACCGATGGAAGACATGGAGAAAATGAGACCACAAAAGGTTCAGAAAGCTCAAATAGAAAGATACACAAATGAAAAAGTAAAGAATTGTTGACTTCATTTTTAGTGAGGTCTAGTTTTCTTCTTAGTGTTTGGGGTCTAGCCTTAGGATTCTCCCTTTGACTATCTTAGAGCCTTAGTAATGGGACCAGCCTCATTTTAGAAATTCAAACTACTTCTTTACCTTTTTGGAGTTCCGCATGTGTGGTTCTCGTCCTCTAGCACTTAGGAGGTTGAAATCAACATGAGGAAACTCAAAAAGGAGTCTCTATACGACTATTAAGCCCTAGGATTGCCTTATGCACAATTTGCACCTTCGCGCGCACAAATTTTGCAATTCAGACTGTCATAACATGAGGAAACTCAAAAAGGAGTCTCTATACGACCATTAAGCCATAGGATTGCCTTATGCACAATTTGCACCTTCGCACGCAAAATTTTTGCAATTCAGACGGTCAAGTTAAATATTGTAATTCACGTCATCTACGCCTTTATATGTTGCATAATTAATCGAAACTTAAATAACAACAACAACAACAAAGCCTTAATCCCACTACGTGGGGTCGGCTACATGAATCCTTTTTCTCCATTGAGTCCTATTTAGTGTCATATTTTCATTTAGTTCTAGTAAATTAAGATCATTTTTAATACAATAAGCCCAAGTCTTCCAAGTTCTACCTCTGCCTTTCTTAACACTAGTCGAAGTTAAAACATCTACTCTCCTAATCGGAT